CATCTGCGCGCGCTGCTCCGACAGCACGCGGCGGCGCGCGATGGTCGTCACCGCGATCAGCATCAGCGTGACCGGCAGCGCCATCGCGCCGACGATGCCCATCGTGCGGACCCAGCCCGCCAGCATGGCAGCTTCGCTGAAGCCCACCACGACGTAGACGGGCAGCCGCTCCAGGCGCCTGAACGCGCCGATGCGCCGCTCGCCGGTGGTAGTCAGCCGGCCCAGAACGACGCCGGTCGTCTCTCCCCGCTCGATGGCCTGCCGCGACGGCGAGTCGGCGGGCAGGCTGCCCGCGCCGTTCGAGAAGGCGGGCCACCGCGCCAGGATCTTCCCGTCCATGCGGACGAGGGTGATGGACTCCACGTCGGTGTTCTGCGCCACGATTGCGCGGTAGTAGTCGCGGAAGTACTCGGGGTTCAGCGACACGGCGACGATGCCGTTGAAGGCGCCGTCCGCCGACAGCCGGCGGTGCGTGAGGTTGAACAGCTCCCGGCCCGTCTGGCGGCCCATGAGCACCTCGCTCACGTCGAAGCCGCGGTCGGCGTCGGCCTGGCGACGGAAGTAGTCCCGGTCGACCACGGTCGCCTGGGGGTCGATGGCGCGGTCGCTTCGCACGAGCGGCACCGCGCGCCCGTCCCACACATTGAGGTTCACGACGGACGGCACGCCGAGCAGCATGTCGCTCAACCGCTGGCGGACGTCGCTCTCCCGGGCACGGATCTGCGCATCCTCGCCGGCGGTCAACGACGCCGCCTCGCCGGTCAGCCGCTCGGCCAGGTCGAAGGTGCGCCGTGCGTGTTCGTGGACGAGGTCGACCCGCCGCATGGCCGTCTCACGGGACGCATGCACCGCGCGGTCGTAGGTCCACCAGCCGACGACGACGAAAGCCGTCGCCGGCACCAGCACGGCGCCGAGCAGCGCCGCGTTCAACCAGCGCACCACCGGCGTGTCGCGGCCCGGCGCTGGCGGCTCTGCCCCGTGGCGCATCGCATCGACGCGCGCGATGAGGATGCAGGCTGCGACCATGCCCATGGCGTATGCCATCGCCTTGACGCCGGCATCGAGGTTCAGCACGTCGGGCGGGATGCCCGGCAGCAGCGCACCCACCAGGCAGATCAGCGTTGCCGCCAGGCCGGGGCCCGCGCCCCACATGAAGGCGCAGAAGAGCGAGACCGGCGCAGCGATGACGAAGGGCAGCT